GGGATGTATTGTACCCCATAGTACAATATTTGGTTCACATGTTTTGCCATCCTTGACATCCGAGCCCACTGATTTAATCACCCATTTGATTTCATTAGTTGTCAAGCCAATTTTTGCTTGACAACTTATCCCTTTTAATTATCCCACCATTACACTCATGTGAATTTTCGAAAATACCCTTACAACATATGAAAATTAAATTATATTTTGATAGCTATTCGATTATTATACAGATTACCACATCAAATTCACGACTAATTACACAAAAAATGCATGAACATCTAAATGGAAAAAAATACCCAGATTAATTCAACTAATTCCGCAAACACAAATTTGTGCAAATATAACCTCATGTATATCATATTGAATTACTACAAAAACATCGAGGAGAAATGAAGATCATTCAAAATTAATGTTAGGGAATGACTAAATCAATTATACATAATGACCAAATTAACAGGTTCACGTGTGATAACGAGTTTGAAAGATTACACATACTAAATATGGAGATCAGTGCAGTTCAAAGTCCAACAATAAGGCTTCACTTGTATAGGTAGACATGGATTTGTACCTGTTTTACGCAAGTCAAGAATCGACAACCTGGGTTAGCATGGGTCCAAGAAGTTTGTAAGGCGAATGTAAAGCACAATCACAAAATTGTTGTCGCTGGCCATTTGAATAGAATCCACCATACCCGTTGATGCTCGAACTCCTACGCGAAGTATTGCTACTAACGCTCATACGGGAAAACAATTGTAAAACGGGATTCAATAGTCGGGATTTTTTCGTCACTTATCGGAGGAAAAACTTAGGGTTTAGGAGTGAAAGGGGGTCAAAAATGAAAGAGGCGTATGGTTGGTAAATATTGTATTTCAGGGGCATTACAGTCATTTTGCAAATAATCCCACATTAAACTGGTTTATCAGCTATACAAAACACGGTGTTGTTCATCATGGGATTATTAGTTTCAGCCCAATACAACCAATCAAAAGACATTCCCAGTATTGTGAATTAGCAGTTTAATCCCAATACTGCATATCCCATCCATACCTATCTATCCAACTCACCCAACCAAAAGGGCCCCTAGAGAGTTCATCTAAGCAAGATTGTCATCGATTCAAGAAATTCTTGTACGAAGAAATCAACTTATGGTTTCTTCATAAAAAAAAATTTCTTGGCTTCTCTCTTAAGTATTCTATGAATACTATTTTGATAAGTTTTTGCCCGTAAAACACATCCACAAGTTATATACTTGTGAATCATGGTTTAAAACTTGTGTTATTTTAATTTCCGCTACACAGCATTTCTTTATGCAAGTTTTTGTTTATTTATTTGTGCAAATCTCTGGTTTTATCATTTATATATTCATTTTACACTGAATCTATACCACCGATTTCTTTCCATTGGTATCAGAGCCAACACTTGACTTGTACTAAGTGTGAGTCATGTTTTTCAGTGGCATAGATTCGTTATGGAGATTCAAAATGGTTGTATATCTTTGAGTGCATTTCATAAAATTGATTTTGGTGAATCTTCTTTTGCTCATATGATTTCATTGACGATACAAAGACACATATTTATGCTGAAAATAAGAAATTATCATTTTTTTATAAAAAAAAAAAATCAGATTTTTCTCAAAAGTCATATCTCATAAAAATAAAATTTGTCTGTCATTACTATTTCGCTTTTGGTTATATAAGGTCTTTTTGCCGAAAAAAGAAAAGTGATGCGATGTACAAAATAATGTCACATGACATTCGAAACAAAATTTCTAAAACTAAGGCAACTTTGAAAAATACAAAGCAAATATGGGTTCCTAATTCAGGTCTAAGGTGTAATGTTACTAGAAATTTTGTGACAAGTGGCATTTCAGATTCTGTATTTGGATAGGGGTTGTTCACACCATATGATCGGGATAAGGGAACACTTTGGCTGACTATGATGTTTTTCATGGTGGACAAGTAACTTATGTTGGAGGTGTCAAGGAAAAAATTGTTGGAAAATGAACAATTGCAATCTAAGGACTTCCCAAACTCACAAGTGTTTTGCATGTTGATGGGCTTAGTGCAAATTTAATTAGCATAAATCCATTATAAATTTATTAGAAATGTTTTCTTCAGATAATATTGAAGGATTTAATTAAGAATTTTAAAGTATTTTTTACCTTTCTAAAGAATTTGACATATAAGAAAACTTAAAAAGAATTTGACAAAGACATCCGAGATGTTTAGAATTGTATTATATGTTTTTTTAGAATATTATGTCCTAACTTATTTTGTAATATCTTAATAGGGGAAATGAGGGATACCCCCAAGTTTTGAAAATATATAGAGATATGTCCTATGGATTTTTCTTCCCTAGTCAAAAATTCAAATTTTAATCTTAATTTGATAGACCCTCGTAGACAAATAAAAATACTCGTTTTGCCCACTTAGTTAAAATTTAAAACCCTAACCTCCTAACATTTTCTCTCACTTCCTCCCACATTTTTTTCAGCCGCCATTCTCCCATCTCCCACTCTCTCTTTTTTTCTCTCTCTTCATTTCTCTCTCTAACTCTCTCTTCTCTTTCTTTATCTCTATTCATCTCTCTCTCCTCTTTCTTTCTCTCTCTTCATCTCTCTCTCTAACTCTCTCCCTGCCCACAGCCCTCCGCCGCCGCGGCTGCTCCCCCACCTCCTTGCGCCGCCACCACCGCTGCTACCCTCATCTCCTTGCGCTGCCGTCGTCGCTACTCCACCACCGCCTTGCACCGTTGCTCCACCACCGCCTTGCGCCGCTGCTCCGCCACGGCCTTGTGCCGGCCGTCGTTGCTCCTCCCACCGCCTTGAACTCTGTATTAAACCATCTACTTCACCTTTTTAAGTTATTTTTTTTAATTTATGAATGTCCATCTATTTTTAATTTATTTTTTTAAGCTTTGAATTCTTACTATTTCACCTTTTTTAATTATTAATTTTTTTTTTGGTGAAAACCAACTGAATTCGAACAAATCGTGATTCGACAATTTGTAGTCAGATCTAATAGTGAATTTTAGATCTGGAACTGGTGGTGTTTGATTTGTATATATTTACTGCATTTATCAAAAAAAAAAAAAACAACCAGATCTACTATGTTTTTAAATTAATTTAATTTTTTAATTTAATTTTTTGGATTAATTTATATATATAAAAAAAAAAAAAAAAAAAAAAAAAAAAAAACCAGATCTACTATGTTTTTGAATTAATTTAATTTTTTTTTTGGATGAATTTTTTTTTTTTATTATAAAATATATGTAAATTCTTTTTTGTATTTATTTGAAGATGATTCGAAATGCCTCTAGTGTGAGAGTTTTGTTTGTCTGTAGTAGAAATTTAATTTGTAGTGGTTACTTAGTCATATACAGTCATATGTAGTCATGTATAGTCATGGCTACATATAACTATACATGACTATAGGACTCGTGCATATACAGTCATATGTAGTCATGTATAGTCATGGCTACATATAAACTATACATGACTATAGGACTTGTAGTATACTATAGTCATTTGTAGTCGATTTCATTCAGCAAATTTATCAACAAAAAAAAAATCATTTTCTTTTGTATTTTTCATGTAATCGAACTAGCATGTTCCATTTTGCTATTTAACTCGTATTTATTTGTCGCAGATTTTGCTTTTATTATAATTTTATGACATGCAGAGAATAAGATGCGATGAAGTGCCTTGTGAAGTTGGATTCATGCTACAGTAGTCTAGACTTTATGTCACTATATATAACTATAGATAATTGTAGATAACTATAGTCACCTGTAGTAACATACAGTATGCTATAGGTTGTTTAATGTACAGTAATACTTGTTCATGTTTGAAGAATATATGCATGTGATTGTATTTTTTTCATTTTTTGCTTGTTAGTTGATTTATAATATGAAGATCCAAATTGTGAATTTATTTGTTGGTGTAGATGAATTTTGGGGTAAAAAGACAGTACATGACTACATATATGATATAACTATACATGACTTTTGAACTTGTAGTACACTATAGTCATGTGTAGTATACTTTCAGTTCAGTAATATTACCAGAATTTGAATTTATATAAAAAAAAATTAAAAAATTAAATCAAAAAAATTAAAAAAACTAAAAAAATCGAAAAAATAAAAAAATCGAAAAATTAAAAAATCGAAATATTAAAAAAATATTTTGTAAAAAAATACTATAATAATAAAAAATGTACAATATATATACAGAAATAAAAAAATTATTAAATTAAAAAGGATGATATATGCAGTACAAAAATACTAAATGCACGTCCAAAATATTAATGCAGTTGGTGAAAATGCTGAATGCAGTTGGGCGAAAATTGTAAATAAGGGCACAATAGTATTTTTGCCTCTTCAGGGGTATCTCAAAGGAAGATATTTAGGGATGGACCTATCCATATATATTTTCCATATGAGGGGTGTATATCAAATGGACTCGTCTTAAAAAATATCTTCACCAATCTTGATCATGTAAATGATGAGTTTGCTGCTATTAACAATGTAGGTTATTTATATGCTACACCCGGTGAAAATTATACCGGGTGAATTTTTACCATTGATCTATACAGACCAATGTGAATGTTTGTGTTCCCATATATATGAAGGGTAAACATCTACCCGGTGTAGCATGTATATGAATGTTTGTGTTCCCATATATAAAGACTTGATTTTATCCAATTCAAATAAGCATTTCTATCAAATGATTTAATATTTTATTTAAATCGAAAAACAACTTAAATTTCGGACACTGCCCTAAGTTAAGATCAAATTACAAAAAAAAAAGAAAACCCTCATGTTCGAATAATTACAACCACACCCTCAACTATATATTGTCTTACACGTCCACCCTTACTGTGTCAAATTTACATACTGAAGGAAGTGTTTTTTCGTATGACAATACATAGTTGAAGGAAGTGGTTGTAATGACCCAAACAAGAGGAGTTGTTTCATAATTTAACCTTACCTCGGGAGGGTGGCCGTAATTTGCCCCTTCAATTTATAACAATACGAAAAAATCGAAAAATAGAGAAATATACCACTTTTCTAGCAGTTGAACAAAAGTCAGAGAATTTAAGTAACCGTTAACTGTGCAGAATAAAAACTATGTACATAAGAAGGGGATAGTGAGACAAGTTTCCTAGGCATTGTTATTATCTGCAGAATTGAGCAAAGCCAAATAGTGAGCTATGGCTTCACCTTCTTTAATAACTTCAATATCATAGTCTGAGTAAGCATCTGCGTTTTGCAGTTCCTCTGTGAGTTCTTCCTCCATCTCCACATCCCGTTCAACCACACTTGGACCCGTTTGACTCGCTCCGCTGCCTCCTTGTTCAGCATTCAAAACACTGTTATCCGCAACTTGTGTGCCCTGAGTTTCAGCCAAAGGAACAGACGGATTGGCAGCACTTCCGTTGGGTTGTTCAAGTAGATGATTCAATGCTGCTTCTTCGGACCCAAATGCACCAACAGCTGCTTCCACTGTCAAATTGCACCAATCGATATAAATATACAAATCAAAGCATGTGAAAATAATGATAACCTAAGTTTAAAAAAGCAATCTTTTTTCCTTTCTCGAATTTTGGACAGTTCCAAATAAGTGATTTTCGAAACCTTAAAAAAGTAGACCAGGATAAGAACAGTGAGAAAAAATTCATCCTACTTAGACCAACAAAATTAAAATATATAGGGTTACGGAAAAAATTCAAAATAATTTGTATGCTATTTTATGTACCTGATGCTCTATCAAAACCCATGGACACAAGTTTTTCAATGGCAGCTGTTGCCGCTTTACGCAATCTTTTCCTTTTCCTCGATATAACTTCATTCTGCGAAACAAGAAATGAGAACCATTATAATTCTGAAGAGATTCAATACGAATTTACATGTCGGAAAAAATAAAACATTAAAAAAATATGTACTTGTAAGGAAGAATTTGTTTCAGGGTTCGTTAAGTCATCTAGAGCACTCTGCGTATCATTTTCATTTTTCCGGAGCGCCTCTGCGGCAAGTTCTTTCTCAAACCTGTGAAATCGGAACAATTATCGGCTAATTTTCAGAAATTATATCAATATTTAATATAAAAAGAATTATGAAGCGTTATTCATAAAGCACATTCGTTCCAATCTTACTTACCCAATGGAGACTAATTCGTTTAGTTTCTGTATGTCAACAGCTTTCCGAAGGGGGGTCACTCCATATTGCTTTTGCTCCCTGGCATTAATTAAGAGTTTATTTATCAACAACTACTACATATATCATTACTACATACGAAAACCAGAAATATAATAAAAATAACTGCAATGTAATAATAATAATAATAACATATGGTGGGACCCACATAATTTCTTGCTGTCGTCGGAGATTTTCCTCTCGTTTTTGTGCCTTCTTCATTTTCTCCTCGACGAGGAAATCGACAGCGCTTCCGACATCCAAGTTGTTCATGCGGAGCGCCCTCTTCGATTCGCGTTCTTTATATCCCATGCTCATTAATAACGACAGTGTTTCATCCGGAACTTGAAGCTGTTCGACATATTTTAATATTTACACGCAGAAATAACATTGGTAAAATAAAAAAATAAATGTGCATATTCGAATGAGTTAACACAAACACATACTGATGTATGCCAAAATTGAGTTGTGAGCGTATAAAAAACACACTAGAGATTGAAGATGAATTGACCTGAAAGTATTTAGCTTGAGCTGCGGTCAACACATTCTTTGACTTTTGCAATTGACCGCCGTGATATGCAACCACTCCTTCTAACAGCTCCATCCTCAAGTGCCTATATATACATGAACAAAAGTAACATATGTCCTAAAATATACCACCTAGGATGTTGTAATAGCAAACACACACACACACACACACACACACACACACACACACACACACACACACACACACACATATATATATATATATATATATATATATATAATAAAAATAAAAATAAAATAAAAAAGATGACTCACAAAGCTAACTCGGGATAGCGACCTCCTTGGAGAACCCTGAGGCGAGAAGATTCCTTTCCGTGGGCCCGCTCAATACCTTTTCTGGCTCTAGAAAGGCGGACCCCAGCTACTGATAGCCAACTTATATCATGGAGCATAAAATAGCACCACACCATGTCTATTTGAAGTATCGACACATTATCAACCATCTGCCATCATATTTAATCTTATTAGTCAAAATCGAAGCATTAGTATGGTTGCTTACGTAATAAAGATTGAAATAATGAGAAGAATAAGGCATACTGGATAACTCTTTTAGCTATAATATTTATATTTTTCAACAACATACTTGGGGAACTGTTAACGTTGATAGTGAAAAGGATTTGAGTTGATTAGTTTACTTCAAGAGAAAGGAAAGATATATTCATATGCCGAATCAAATGTATTATCCCCTATATTAAAAAAGTAGGTCTCACCTCAATCAACTTCGGATCGCACAAGGAAAACGCCTCCTACAAGAAAGAAACGGACTTCCAATATTAGTAGGATAAAAATATATATATATAAAAAAAAGGACTAATTGATAATTCAACAATATCTCATCTAAATTGCACGATGTTGGCGTACCTCGCCCATGGTGAGTACTTCTAAAGCATCTTCATATTGTTCCCTTCTTATGAGAGCTTTTGCGTTTGCGTGCAGCATAAGTCCCATCATTATTGCCCTGAGAAACGAAAGAATAGCATCGTCAGTGTAAACAACATCACAAATTAAAGCCTTTTAATAGCAGATTAGTCCCTAATACTCACGATAATTGCACTAAGACGTCATTTAAGAAATTACGATATACCTTTGGTCAGTTTCGGATCCCAACTGCACTTTTTCGCCACTCTGATTTTCGAGTTCAAGATTGAAGTCTTCAACAGGTAACGAACCATCCGCATGTCTACTTGACAATGACGTGGCAGCAGCTCTGCAAAATCGCAAATGCAAATAGTTTATATCAAATACATTTTTTTGGCTCGTCTTATCTCTATTTATAAACCGGTCCCTGATTTTCAATTAATAGGCAACACTACAACTCACATGATTTAGTTTCCCGTAATATTAAATAAGGAAAACGTAACTTCTAAATAATATATGCTCTCGTACTTATGTTCCGTAGAGCAATATTACAATAAAGAAGAATAAACCTATACGATGTAAATACAGAAACAATCTTGTGACAATCTAGTATTTTCAAACATCAAGCAATCATCGAGACGTAACTTCATACGGACAATTTAAAAAAAATTTAGACCAAATAGGATTCCATCAAAGGAAACATATGGATCGAAAAAACATTATGATATTCTAACAATTATTACATGGCTTCTTAATTCGACTGTAAGGTACTACTGACCATGATAATGCACGAACTGCAGTAATTTCACACCAAAATCATAACATGAAAGAATACATAAAGCTCGTATGTTTCCCAAATAATTAGAAATTAAAAAGCACTACATCCGGTGAAGATATTCACTAATGCAGATTAGCCACAGATTAACTCATTGCATTCACCGAAACCTCTAGAAAAAAAACACTATACGAAACACCTGGAAGAGAGAAGAGAGAGAGAGAGAAAGAAAAAGCTTCGATTCACTAATTCAAACAACTCTGAAGAATACACAATATCACTACATCATAAGACAAAGAAGACGAACGTAAATACACTACGGTGTACATTGTCCTACAAATTCGACTCGGGATCAAATCATTCATCAAGAATCCTACCATCAAATACCCAATTTTATCCAATTTAACTCATGATTCGAAAAACGAGGGCACTTCGCAACTTACCATTGATCATGCCACCAAGTAAACAACATATAACTTTTACTACAAAAACCCAAAACCAATCAGCAAAAGGGCATGCAAACATACAATTAATTCAAACGCACACGTGTGGAAAAACAAATTAGAACACAGAATTCATCAAAACCCTCAATTTTTTTTCCAGAAAAAAAAGCAAAATCGGAACAAGTAAAAAACACTTACTTAAGTCTAGAAAGCCTATTGGATCGCTCTTCCTCAGCCAAGAATTCATCTTTGACCGATTTGCCCTCTCGATCAGTAGAAACCTTTAACGCCAAAATTTTGGAGTTATTTTTAACGCCCAATTGGCTTAATTTTTCAGTGCCGTCGCCGTCTCTTAAAACCCTGCCGGAGCAAATAAGGTTTAAGCAGTGGGGCCCACCGCAGTCTGATCGAATCGCCACCTCTTGTCTGAGCATGGCGACGGTCCAATCGTCCAGTTCTACTTCCAACACTCCGCTCCATGACCCACCAATTTTAAGCTTTCCAATACCCATCTTTGCTCTGCTGCTTCTTTTTTTTCTTAATAATCACAAAGAATTCTTGCAATCAATTGTGTTTCGATTGTGCGGATGTTTAATTTATGTAAAGACTTGATGATAGTGTTGGTCGTTTCTTGGGGACTAAGGATCGGATATCACTGGTGGGGTCGTCGTCTCCTACTGCTTCTATAACATTAACTCTCGTGTTGGGTTCGTTCTTGTATTTAAAGACGAAAAAAAAAAAAATTACTTTGATTTTATTTTATCTTTTTCTAATTTAAGAAAAGAAAAAAAATTGATTATTAGTGCCTAATCCAATAAGAAAAAAAAGAGATTATTAGCTAGATATCCCTAAAAATATTTGGTCTTGTTTAAAGTGCATATAATATTCTGTCTAATTGGGATTTGGTACCATTAAAAGTTCCTAGAGTCCATTAATTGAGTTATATGGACGATGAACAAACAAGTTTACCCTCCGTGCACTATTTGATAGCGCAACTTGACCAACAACAGATTAATAGAAATCTAGAACTTAAAAATACATGAATATACGCACTCAATAGCATAAAATGCATATTTAGAGAGCTTAGAACGACCCCGAAGAGCTTATTTAGAGAGCTTACACTGAGAATTATCAGTACTTGAATAGATGCACTCCACATAGAAAAAATATACATTGGAATAGATGCACTCCACGTAGAAAAAATATACATTGAAGACTACAAGGAGAGTTTAGTCACTGAGCTTAAAAATAGGATTATACACACATAAAAAAATATAGAATTGATAGTATAAGGAGAGCTTAGTTACCAAGGGCGAATTCTCAATATAGGAAGGGGGGCTGTTGCCCCTCCCCCAACAAAATATGAAAAAAAATTATTACTTTTATATATATATATATATATATATATATATATATATATATATATATATATATATATATATATATATATATATATATATATATATATATATATATATATATATATATATATATATATATATATATATATATTTAACGTAAGTTAAATATTAATACAAAAGGGAGGAAGAAAAAAGAATAACGTCATAGGCACACAACTGAGAAGAAAAAAAAGAAAATTGGAAAATCTCATTAATTAGTTAATAATATATAATATTTTCTTAATTGTATTTTAATTCTTAAGAGAAAGAGTTTTAAAACAAATAAAATTTTATCAAAATAGGAATTGGTTTTACAATAGGTTTCTTCCCTTTTAATTCTCTCATCCCTGTTATCTTCTTCACACGTTCTTCACCTCGATCCATGGAAGAAAAATCTCACGGTAATTATCAAACTTCTACATCTCTTTTTATCTTTTTTATTTTATTATTTCTTATTCTTTAATTATATGTAAGAATTTTATTGAAGCATAGATGATTTTATTTATAAAATTTATTTTAAGGGCTTTTATTTTTTACTATATTGAATTCTTTGAAATTTAATGTAGGTCGATTGACTAATGTATTCGAATCAATCCGAAGATTAAAAAATAATACGATTCACGCCTTTTTCCAAAGTAATAAAAAAGAATCATCAACATCCAATGTTGATAGTTCTTTTCTCGATCATGAACAAGAACGTTCTGAACCGGCTATTACACCAGCTATTACAGCAGTTGGAGTTATGCTTAATCAATAATTTGGAGTAAACTGCAAAAACTACCCCTGTGTTATCTCGAAATAGCAAAAACCCCCCTGTGATAAATAAACTAGCAAAAACCCCCCTGTGAAATTTAGTCAAAGGCAGAATCCCCCCTAGCTGATTTTTTAGACTTGAAATGACAAAATTGACCCTCAAAATGTATTTATATATATACATATTATATGTATATTTATTCTTTTTAATTTATTTGTTTAGAAATTAAAAAAAATAGTAAACAACTAAATTGATTATTTTTTAAATAAAATAATTAAAATATTTATAAAATATAAGAATTTATTAATTGCAAGACTCCAGGGGTATTTGTGTCTTTTTATATCAAGTCAACCCTCAAATAGTTCCATAGGGGGGTTTTTGCTATTTAAATAATTTCACAGGGGGGTTTTTGCTAGTTTATTTATCACAGGGGGGTTTTTGCTATTTTGGGATTACACAGGGGTAGTTTTTGCAGTTTACTCCAATAATTTGATATCAATTCTTTGGAACGTGATCTGGGAAAAATACCTCAAATTTGGATGTATCCTCTCGAAAAACAGGACGAAATTCGCCGTACTTATATCAAGTTAGGGCCATATCAATTTTATTTACCTGAATATCCTTATTCAGGTATTGAGGGAAATCGTCGAGGATTCCAGTATTCATGGTTTTCCCAATTTCCGGCTTGGTTAGAGTAATCTCCGACTAAAGATGCTGCTTATTGTTTATCATGCTTTATTTTTTCTAATGAGACAAATGTGCGTTTTGGCGCAAATACATTTATGGTGGAAGGATTTCGAAATTGGAAGAAAGTAAATGAAGGAAAAAATTGTGCTTTTTTACGCCATATTGGAGGCCATAATTCACAGCATTGTGCCTCTTTAAAATCATGCGAGGATCTAATGAATCAATCTGCGCATATAGACAAGGTCATGCAAAGACAGTCATCAGTAGAAATATTGAATAATCGTTTGAGGCTTAAAACCTCAATTGACTGTGTTCGTTGGCTTGCATATCAATCATGTTCTTTTCGAGGCCATGATGAAGGCCCAACGTCGAAAAATTCAGGTAATTTTCGCGAGATGGTGAAGCTTTTGGCAAATTATAATGAAAAAGTAGATGCAATTGTTTCAGATAAAGCTCCTCCCACTGCCAAGTACATCTCTCCGACAATTCAAAAGGAGATATTGCATATTATTGCATCTAAAGTGAGAAATAAAATTCGAGAAGATATTGGTGACTCTAAGTTCTGTATTCTTGTTGGTGAGACACGAGACAAATCCAAATGGCTCTTGTTTAAAGATTTGTTGATAAAATAGGTGTTATTCAAGAACGTTTCTTTGATACCGTATGCGTCAAAGACACAACTTCGTTGACTCTTAAACATGAACTTTCAACATTTTTTTCTCATCATGCTTTAAGTATTGAAATCTTCGAGGGCAGGGTTATGACGGTGCAAGCAATATACGTGGCGAATGGAACGGATTACCAGCATTATTTTTTAAAGATTGCCCGCATGCATATTACGTACATTATTTTGCTCATCGACTTCAGTTGGCATTAGTTGCAACATCAAGAAAGGTAATTCTTGTTCATCATTTTTTTTCAAAGTTGGACTCCATTGTAAATATTGTGGGCGCTTCTTGTAAGAGAACCGGTGAGTTAATTACTGCAGAATAAGCTGAAATTTCTCGTTGGATATCTATTAATGAACTTGGAACTGGTAGTTAAGCTAATAAAATTGGCAATTTACAACGAGCTGGAAATACTCGTTGGGGTTCCCATTTTTGTTTTGTGTGTAGCTTGAAGAAAATGTTTAGTGCTACTAGGAGTGTGCTTCAAACCATTATATCTGATGGAGCAAATTATTCCCAACGCGGTGACACTGATTCTGCTTATACTGCTATGACATTTTTTCAGTTTGTTTTTATCTTACTCTTGATGGAAAGGATAATGGTAGTTACTAATATTCTTTGTCAAGCTTTACAACAACGATCCCAAGACATATTGAATGCTATGCATTTAGTCTCAACAACAAAACAACTTCTTCAAAATTTGAGGGATGATGGGTGGGATAGTTTTTTAAATGATGTTAATTTGTTTTGCCAAAGTAATGAAGTTGAGATGCTAGATATGAATTCTACTTATAAACTATGTCGGGGGAAGTCGATTCACCAGCCACGAGATACTAATATCACGATGGAGCATCATTTTCATTTTGATATATTTGTGACTACCATAGACACACAAATGAAAGAGTTAAATTGCAGACAATGGAACTTTTAACTCTTAGTTGTGATTTGGACCCAAGTGATTCATTCAAATCCTTTAAAGTAGATGATATTTGCACTCTTGTTGACAAATATTATCCTGCAGATTTCATAGAACAAGATAGGCTCCTCCTGAAGTTTCAATTGCAACATTATCATCTTGACATGACCAAGCATCAAGATCATCTATGTCATTTGTCTACTCTTGCAGCACTATGCGAAGGATTAACAAAGACGAAAAAATCCAAAGTATATTATCTAGTTGATAGGTTGATTCGTTTGATCTTACTTCTTCCGGTGTCTACTGCTACCACAAAACGAGCTTTTTCTGTTATGAAGCTTACCAAACTAGAATTCGGAACAAAATGGAAGACGGGTTCTATGGAGATTGCATGCTTCTACATATTGAAAGGGAAATTGCAGATTTTTTAGTACATATTCAATAATAGATGAATTCTATTCGAAGAAAATACATAGAGCACAACTTAAATGATTGTATTAGTTTGGACGTATTTATTTGAAGGTTTGTTTGATTGTCAAAAAAAAAATTAAACCATATTTGTTTATTTATTTTTATGTTGTTTATATTTTCATTATTTTTATCATAAGCTCAGCCCCCCCCCCCCCCCCCACCTAAATGTCTCACGGTCCGCCCCTGTTAGTTACAAGCTTAGTTATATTCAGTGGTCCTATTCATAAATACTTACCTATTTATTATCACATCTCCCTCAAATCGTATAGCTAATCAAAGTGAACCAACAACTACTGTTCATATCCTCTAAAGATGCAATTGCATATGCAAATTTGTTTTTCCAACGACCGACGTGTATGAATTTGTGTGTGTGAGCGTGTGTGTGTCAGTGTGTATGTGTGCCTGTCACTATGCGTTTAATAGTGGATTCTTATTCGATGTCAATGGCGATAAAGGAAGACGACGGTTACGGATGGGGAAAGGAGTGTGTATGTATGCTTGTCAATGTGCGTTTAATAGTGGATTCTTATTGGATGCCGATGGCGATAAAGAAAGACGACGGTTTGGATGGGGAAAGGTCGTGATGGTGTATTGAAGATCTTGTTGAATCTCAAAAAGAAAAGAAAGGGGGAAGAGAGGAGTGGATGGGTAAGGGGAGAAAGAGACAAGTAATTCCGTATGAAAATAATAGAGGACTTTTGGTGAGTTGGCAAAATCTAATTATCCTGATTTGAAAGGATATTAGTGGCGAATGACGTGTAACAAATTGCCCAAAAATAAAAGGGGCGGTAACACCACTTCTTTCTCAGTTCAATTAAAAATAAAATAAAATAAAAAATGACATTAATGCTCTTAGTAAAATTCAATATCACACATACACACAAAACATAATTTTTCTTTGATTGAGACCACACGCTCAAAACCTATCTCTTTCTTCACAAAACTCTTCTTCTTCTTCTTCTTCTTCTTCTTCTTCTTCTTCTCCGTCTTCTTCTTCTTCTTCATAAATTCTCCTAAAAGATCTCAAAATCCAAAACAATCAAAACCTCGCAAACCTTATAAAATAAAGTCACAAGACAACAAATGATAATGTACATGAAAGGAGAACCCATTGAGGCACCCATGTCTTTTTTTAATTGGGAAGTCAATTTTCATGCTTTTTGTTTCAGCACCCGTCGATAATTTTTGACACATACATGTTGAATTGCTGTCATTTTTCAACAACAACATGTGAAAAAATAACATAAATTTCACAAGTAATCGTAGAAAATTGAAAAACTAAAAAAATTAACAAGCACCTATTAAGTTTTTAAAAAAATTCGACAGGTACTTGTCAATTTTTTCAACACTTTCGACAACAACCTGTTGAAAATGGATTAAAAGTCGACAGATAGCTGTCAAAATTGGTGAAAAAAACGACAAGTACAGGTTGAAAACATCCTGCCGAATAACAATTCACAAAACGACCATTCAAGGCTCAAAATGACCAAATTAGAAGCACATAGTAACAAATAAGAATCGCTCAATGCTCAACGATTCTAAGTGCCCACCAAACAAAACGACCAACTTATAAACAAACGAAAAAATAAATATTTGTATCCAATGAGCAAGACACTGGTTGGCTTTGGATGAAAAAGACACAAAAGGGAAGACGACCACAACTCCGACGATAATGGCAGTCTACAACTCCGACGTTGGTGCGACGATGTGTAGGCTTTTCCCGTCAATTTGGGGGTGGGAAAGGGAATGATTTTTTCTTTTCTTTTCTTTAATTTGGTCATCAACAAATTAAAATGATGGAAATTTTTTTTTTTATGCATAAATTATATAATGGGGTGTTTTTATTCCTTCTAGTATTAACCTAAGAAAAATAAAATAAAAACAAATGTACTAAAATAAAGTATTCATTATTCAACTATTTTTTATTTTTTATTTTTGAACAAGTGAACACAGAAATATTTTGGATTTGTATTAGCCACCCATAAAAATATTATTTAGCATAAATAAGGTGTTCCCTTTTTTATGTGGGTTAATTGCGCCAACCCTCGAACTAAGCACCTACTATTTTCCATAGTTTTTTTTTGTCTCGCCAAGTATTTCTTTTTTTTTTTTGAAAATAACATAAATTTTTATTGGGCTGATGAAGCCATAGTAACAGGAAGCTCAAAGCCTTCCAAAGTATCAGTGCAAGGCAAATGAGCAAGATTATGGGCTAAATGATTGCCCTCCCGTTTAACAAAAGAGAACTTACAACTGGAAAAGTTTTGAGAAAGAAAAAGGCATTCTTCAATAATGGCTCCGTAATGGAGAGTCTCTCCACTCCCTGCACAAAGAGCTTTAATCACAGGGAGGCAGTCTCCTTCCAAGCTAATGTCAGCCCATCCGTTTGCTTTGGCTAGCAAGACAGCCTGGAGAGCCGCCAAGGCTTCGCCTTCAACTGGTTGTAGTTTGCCGTTGCACCTCTTCACTTTCCAAGCGAGGCACCTTCCTTCATGATTTCTTGCAACACAAGCTACCGCGAAAGAAGATGTTCCCTGACGAACAGCAACATCAAAATTAATTTTAATCTCTCCTAATTCCGGTGGTTGCCATTCCGTTGGGTGAGCTTGGCCTAGGTTGGGGTTCGGTCGGAGTTGGGCGCTTCTAAAGTTCTCCAAATAGCTCTTGCACCAGCTGACCAAGTCTTCCGTTTTCATCACCTCTTCGTTCTTCATCTCTTTATTCCGGCAATCCCACACTTTCCAGGCGATGATTGACGCCAAAAGAAAACTCTCTTCGTCCCATGTCTCTTTCCAGTGTAGCAGCAATTCCCATGGAGATGTGAAACTCGATCGATATCCGAGGCCAAAAGGTGGAGTCGTCCAGACCGTGTCCATGCCCTTGCAAGTTGTCACGACGTGCAGGATCGTTTCTTCCTCTGCATTACATCGCGAGCATAATGGAGACCTTATCACCTTTCGACGAAAGAGTTCCGAATTCGTAGGGAGATTGTTACCACAAAAACGCCATAGAAACAGCTTTATTTTTTGTGGCAGCGGCAACTTCCAAACAAGATTCCAATTACGATTAGAACCTCCGCTTCCCGATCCATGTTCGATCCCGCTGTGATTTTTCAAAAATAGTGGAGAATTTAGAATCATATGATAGCCAGACTTTACCGTATATCTTCCTTGGTTAGAGTAGTGCCAACACCAAATGTCGGTCGTGTGGGGACCCCCCACCGCAACCCCGAGAACCCTCACCACGTCCACCGGCCAAAAGGTGTAGTGAACAAGATCTAGATTCCAAGAGTTTGATCCAGGTTCAAGTAGATCCGAAACTCGATCCGGGAAGGGCGAGGAGATAGACCGCCTTGTGAGAACCTTAAAATTCCCATCATCACGCAGCCACGGGTCGGCCCAAATGGAAGTGTTATGGCCATTGCCAATACGTCGTCTGATGCCCATCTTTAAATATGGGATTGCTTTTTGAATACACCTCCAGGTTGTCGATGGATTGGAGCCAATCCCAGCCAAAAGGAGGTTCCCGTTTGGGAAGTATCGGGCCGACATGATACGAGACATGAGTAAGTCCGGATGAGCAAGGATACGCCATGCTTGTTTGACAAGCAAAGCCATGTTAAAAGCTCGCAAATCCCGAAATCCAAGTCCACCTTGTGCCTTTCCTTTACATAACTCCTTCCATGCTACCCATGCTATTCCTTTTGTCGACCCATTGCCCCACCAGAATCGCCGGATCGCCTTCTCAATTTCCAGAACAAGGCCAGTCGGAATCAAGAAGCAGCTCATGATATATGCGGGAATAGCTTGGAGGACAGACTTGATGAGGACTTCCTTGCCGGCTCTGGACAGGTGTTTCTCACCCCACCCCTTAATTTTTTCCCAGACTCGATCGCAGAGGTAAGAAAAAATTTCCTTTTTTGTCCGCCCAATAGACGCCGGCATGCCCAAGTATTTATCGTGCCTCTCCACTACACGAAAGCCAAGAATACAGTGGATGGAGTCGATTGTCTCCGAAGGAGTTGCGCGGCTGAAACACATGGTGGATTTGTTGTTGTTGATCTCTTGCCCCGAGATCCTCGCGTATTTCGAAAGAATTTCCTTTAAAACTGATGCATGTTCTACCGTGGCCTTTCCAAAGATGAGGGTGTCGTCCGCAAAGCATAAACTTGAAATCATGGGGGCGGTCGGCGCAACCCGGACCCCCTGAAAGTCACCACGATCCGTAGCCCGAGAAATCATAGCAATTAGCGCTTCCGTACAACATATAAACAGATATGGAGACAGGGGGTCTCCTTGCCGGAGTCCACGTGACGGGTGTACAAAGCCAAACTGTGAACCATTAAAGAGAAATGAAAAGGAGACCGATGAGACACATAGCATGATTAGATCCACAAAACCAGTTGGTAAACCAAACCGTAATAAAATATTTTTCAGAAAACACCATTCAATGCGATCGTATGCCTTACTAATGTCTAACTTAAGAGCCATATAATTGGTTCTCTTACTAGAGCTGAGTTTTATAAAGTGATTTATCTCATAAGCCACAAGGATGTTGTCTGAGATAAGGCGTTTGGGAACAAAGGCAGATTGGGTAGGAGATATTAGATCATTAAGGACAAGTTTTAGACGGTTCGCCACCACTTTGGCCCCAAATTTGTAAATAACATTGCATAGGCTAATCGGTCTATAATCCGTAATTTTTTCAGGTTTTTTAACTTTTGGAATAAGGACAATAAATGTGTAATTTAAAGTTGGGGGGAGATTATGGTGATTGAGAAAATCCAGAACACAAGTTACCACATCTGAGCCCAAGATATGCCAATATTTTGTGTAAAAGATGACAGGTAATCCATCGGGGCCAGGGGATTTTAGGGGAGCCATTTGAGAAATGGCTCGGGTTACCTCATCCGCAGTGAAGGGCATAGACAAGAGTTGAGCAGCCTCTCCCGAGATCCAATTTCGCACGTTAACCAACACTTCATCTATCTCTTGCTCACTCGGGCCGGTCGACGAGAATAACTGTTCAAAATATTCCGAAATAATCTTTTCGATATCCCTTTGTGAATTCCTCCAAATGCCTCCGTCATCTTTCAGTTTGTCAACTCTGTTCATGCGGTTCCGGATGGTCGCCTTTGCATGAAAAAATTTCGTGTTTCGGTCCCCCTCTTGAATCCACTGAATTTTGCTTCGTTGTCTCCAATACATGTCATTTTCCTCGTAAGCCTTTTCCATTTCCAATTTCAGCTGATTGATCTCCCTCTTTGTGTCCAAAGTTTGCAAAGCACCCATAAGAAAGTGGAGGCGTTTACGCAATTTTTCGATGCGTCGCCGAGGCTCCAAGACAAAAGTTTTTTTCCAGCGGATGAGAGCTAGTCGGCACCCCTCATTTTTCCGGACGACAGCTTCAACCGGATCAGCCATCACTATGTCTGAGTATTGATGATGAACAATGCTTTCACACTCGTCTCGTCTAAGCCAAACAGCCTCAAACCGAAAAGGTCGTTTCTTTTGATGGTCATAGCGTGGCTCAGGTGGATCAAGGAGTAACTGAATCGGGGAGTGGTCCGATCCGGGATACTCCAAGTGCTTGACCTTCGCTCTTGGGTACCTCATGGTCCATTCATTGTTAGCACACACTCGGTCGAGCCGTTCTCTCACCGTGCGAGGGAAGGCCTGGTTGTTTGACCATGTAAATTGGGTTCCCTCAAATCCCAAATCGGATAGATCGCACACATCAAGGGTTTCTCGGAAAGCTTCAATGTGCGCTGGAAGTTTCGGAAGACCCCCTTCTTTTTCACTATTACACAAGATTTCGTTAAAATCACCGCCGACCACCCACGGCATGCTTCTCTGGTCACGGAGACTACGCAGGAGAGACCATGATGCATGTCTTCTAGTTCTGTCGGGGAAACCATAAAAACCGGTCACTCGCCATTTGCTATTGTGGTTTATATCGAGAACCTCTGCGTCAATATGGTTGTTCGAGTAACTAATGAGATCGACTTCCACATCCTTTCTCCAAAACAAAATCATACCGCCTGACCTTCCAATCTTATCTACTCCAAAACCATTAAGATCCCATCGTCTTCTGAGCTTTTCCATCAAAGGTAGTGTTGCCTTCGTCTCCGAAAGAAACACTAGTGTTGCCTTCTTTTTCTTCTTCTTCTTCTTCTTCTTCATAAATTCTCCTAAAAGATCTCAAAATCCAAAACAATCAAAACCTCGCAAACCTTATAAAATAAAGTCACAAGACAACAAATGATAATGTACATGAAAGGAGAACCCATTGAGGCACCCATGTCTTTTTTTAATTGGGAAGTCAATTTTCATGCTTTTTGTTGCAGCACCCGTCGACAATTTTTGACACATACATGTTGAATTGCTGTCATTTTTCAACAACAACATGTGAAAAAATAACATAAATTTCACAAGTAATCGTAGAAAATTGAAAAACTAAAAAAATTAACAAGCACCTATTAAGTTTTTAAAAAAATTCGACAGGTACTTGTCAATTTTTTCAACACTTTCGACAACAACCTGTTGAAAATGGATTAAAAGTCGACAGATAGCTGTCAAAATTGGTGAAAAAAACGACAAGTACAGGTTGAAAACATCCTGCCGAATAACAATTCACAAAACGACCATTCAAGGCTCAAAATGACCAAATTAGAAGCACATAGTAACAAATAAGAATCGCTCAATGCTCAACGATTCTAAGTGCCCACCAAACAAAACGACCAACTTATAAACAAACGAAAAATAAATATTTGTATCCAATGAGCAAGACACTGGTTGGCTTTGGATGAAAAAGACACAAAAGGGAAGACGACCACAACTCCGACGATAATGGCAGTCTACAACTCCGACGTTGGTGCGACGATGTGTAGGCTTTTCCCGTCAATTTGGGGGTGGGAAAGGGAATGATTTTTTCTTTTCTTTTCTTTAATTTGGTCATCAACAAATTGAAATGATGGAAAAATATTTTTTTTTATGCATAAATTATATAATGGGGTGTTTTTATTCCTTCTAGTATTAACCTAAGAAAAATAAAATAAAAACAAATGTACTAAAATAAAGTATTCATTATTCAACTATTTTTTATTTTTTATTTTTGAACAAGTGAACACATAAATATTTTGGATTTGTATTAGCCACCCATAAAAATATTATTTAGCATAAATAAGGTGTTCCCTTTTTTATGTGGGTTAATTGCGCCAAACCTCGAACTAAGCACCTACTATTTTCCATAGTTTTTTTTTGTCTCGCCAAGTATTTCTTAGAACATATAAATATTGGTATTATAATAAGTGCAATTTTAGAAAAAATAATCATAATTTTTTGAAATGAGAATCTAATAGTAGTCCAGTTACGTTCCAAAAAATCATAAATTGGAACATTCAAAATTTAGAATAAATAATATTGTACCAAAC